GGTATGTCACGGATGTCTGATGTGCTTTTCACATATCAAGTGTTCTAAATCACTACACCACTTGCCATCACTTCTGTTGAAAATCACATATCCTTGCAATTTGGGAATGTCACTGTTCAAAGTGTAAAAGTATAGAGAAATTGAAAGATTCTTCCTGTTCCCATTAGATACCTAGCCCTGTTCTCAGACAGCAAGCTTGGCTCAATGGAAAGTATTAATTTTTACTTTCCACTGGCTGGTTTACAGAGTTCAGAACAGACATGATGTGTAGGCTGAAAATGGGTTTCACACAGAGTTCAGAGCTTCGTGTTTTCTTACATTTGTGTAAGCAAAATACAGCTTTAGAACTACAACAGAAAGGGCTGGGTATTCATGATGCACATACGTATTTTCTATTCTTTACGTACTTACTGAAATAATTTCAGAATGAAGACAAGAAGTGAATGTTCACAGTATCTGCACTTTTTATCTCTCATTGGTGGATTGCCTAAAAGGCATTTAAAATTAATTAAATTTAAAGCAAAATTAATTAACTAAAATTAAAAATAATTCATTACTGCCATATTACATGAAACCTACAACTGAAGAAAAGGCTGCTTTTAAATAAAAAAATCAGAACATTCACAGATCACAATACAGGGAGAATAAGTATCAGGAGAGAAATAAGTAATACAATGAGCTACAGAGTACAATTCCATGTATGGTCTAGCATTATCAGTGAGGAATAGTATAGAGGTGATTACCATTTTCATATTTTCTGTATACATCCTTTGTTTTTCTTACTCCCAACCTCTGGAAAGAACTATCATGTCTGCTTTAAAAACTGCATGCTTTAATACTGCTGACAACATAAATGGATTTGTACCATTCTTAGTACTGTACACCATTACAAATTTAAAAGATTTTTGGTGCTTAGGGTGTCACTGTTCTTGTGCACACCAGAGCTACTTTGGCTGAAAGCTGCAGTTGGAGGCATTTTCTCCTAGACAACCTGCCCTGCAAGCTCTCACATCAGCACTTGCAGTTTAACAGAGAAATACCCTGAATATCATAAGGATCATTTCCATTACTGCTTTGCACTGTAGAATGCACATATTTCTGTGCATCTGGAAGTTTGTTAGGTAGTTATCTGAAACTGCTATGCACCTGACACCAACATTATGGTGGGAAAAAAACCAAACCAAGCAACAGCTGATTTTATTAAAATGCAAAGCTTTCAACATTTACATAGTGACAGATACCCCAAATTAGATATCAGAATCTTAAATACAAAGGAGTTTTCTCTTTCATCCAGCTAATGAGCTACCTTTGTAATATGTTCCCTTATGAACAGATCTCTCTCCCACCTGTTGCCTCCCATTAGCAGGATACTGTACAAGAACCAGCCTGCCTGCATGTAGCTAGTCTCTGCCTGTGGATTCTCTTCAAAGCTTAATCATTTCCACAGAAATGTCTTGTAATTCCTAGACCAGGTACTTAATCACAGTATCTATTTTGAACACTTTTTCAGAAGTACAGACTGTTTTTTCTTGACATGTAAAAGATACTTCAAAAATGCTTAAGTTCATTGGGCAAAGCCAAATATCATCTAGCTAGACAACAAAAATATCATTAAGAATGAAAGCAAAGGTTAATGACCAGAATGGTACTTAATTTGACTATAAATTAATAGCTTGTCCATTACGAATAAAGTACTGTGCATGCATGGAGGAGAGAAGCAGTTCAAATCTCAAATTGTAACTCCTTATATAGCACACAGTGAAAATCACAAATCATACAAATGCATGAAGAACAACAATGAATGGGGCTCATTATCAGGTCTTGATAGAGAGCAGACATAAAAGCAACCTACATATTGGGATTAGCAACATAAAATTTAAGCAAATAATCTTTGTTGGATTGACACAGAAGCCTGGGAGAAACTGCAAGTGCTCATATTGGAAGCAACTATTCAGTAAGTGTTCACAGCATAGACTGGTTTGTATTGGAAGGGATGCTAAAGATCATCTACCCCCCTGTCATGGGCAGGGACACCTTCTACTAGACCAGGGTGCTCAAAGCCCCATCCAGCCTGGTCTTGAACATTGCCAGGGATGGGGCCGCCACAACTTCCCTGGGCAACCTGTGCCTGTGTCTCATCAACCTCACAGTAAAGAATTTCTTCCATATACCTAACATAAATACCATAGAGTAGTTAGGGTTTGAAAGGACCTTAAGATCATCTAGTTCCAACCCCCCTGCTATGGGCAGGGACACCTCACACTAAACCATGTCACCCAAGGCTCTGTCCAACCTGGCCTTGAACACCACCAGGGATGGAGCATTCACAGCTTCCTTGGGCAACCCATTCCACTGCCTCATCACCCTTACAGTAAAGAATTTCCTCCTTATATGCAATCTAAACTTCCCCTGTTTATACCCTCTTTCAGTCTAAAACCATTCTGCCTTGTCCTGTTCCTACATGCACTTCTAAATGTCCCTCTCCATATTTCCTGTAGACCTCCTTTAGGCGCTGGAAGCTGCTCTAAGGTCTCCCTGGAGTGTTCTCTTCTCCAAGCTGAACAAGCCAAACTCTCTCAGCCTGTCTCCATAGCAGAGGTGTTCCAGCCTTCAGAGCATCTTTGTGGCCCCCTCTGGACTTGCTTGAGCAGGTCCACATCCCTCGTGTTGGAGACCCCAGAGCTGAACACACTCCTCCACCAGGGGGTCTTATGACAGCAGAGTAGAGGGAGAGAATCACCTCCCTAAACCGGCTGGGCATGCTCCTTTTGATGCAGCCCATGACATGGTTGGCTTTCTGGGCTGCCTTTCCAGTTTAGAGACAAGGATATCATGCAGGACTGTGTCAAATGCTTTGCATGAGTCCAGGTAGATGATGTCAGTTGCTCTTCTCTTATCCACCAATGCTGTGACCCCATTGAGGAAGGCTCCCAAATTTGTCAGGCACAATAAGATCTTAGTGAAGCCCTTAGTGAAGGTTGGCTGTCACCAACCACCCCCTTATTGTCCACGTGCCTTAGCATAGCTTCTAGAGGGATCTGCTCTATGATCTTGCCAGGCACAGAAGCGAGACTGACTGGCCTGTAGCTCCCTGGGTCTTTTTTTCCTTTTTAAAACTGGAGGCTATGTTTCCCTTGTGTTCATTCTTTATCTTGCAGTTGCAGTTTAGTTCTATTGCAGGTTTTTAAACTTCTTTTAAAAAACAGAATGTGTGTATTTTGCATTGCTGTGATAGCCAACCCGCACAATACACTAAATCAACTCAATAGAAAAAGAACAGAGGAATATTAAAACTGTTGCAGATGCCAAACTTCTGTCTGGAAGGCATACTGGCATAGAGTGTATATGGATATGCACCCCAGATTTACAGATTTTGTCCAACTTTGGACTTGTAGAATTTTTGTGTGGAAAAAAAATACCTGCCTTATGCACAAATGATGCACAAACGCCTTAATGTAGATGGGTATGCACACCATCACTTTCTTTTTTCCAACGTACAAGTGCACGTGCAGCTGTTCGCTTTCAATTCATTATCTCTCATCAATGAGCATTTACTTGGCCTTTCATCTTCAAGCAGTAACTCCAAGTTTGACAGATAAATCATAGAAAAAGACATCATATCTAGCCAGGCAGTCAGAAACACCATCTACTGAGACCCATTCTGTAACACATAGGGCTCTTTGCAACAGGCTTATAATCAAGAGGTAAACACATCCTCAATACAAAATGAAGAAAAATCTTCTTGCCTCATTCAGATTCATGGCAAAACCCACACCAACTTCATGGAAAGCTGAACTAGCCTCAAAGCAATATAGCACTGTAAGGCCCTAATGCACTACACTATGCTTGCTGTTCCTTCTGGGCCCAATTCGCCATAATCATAACTATGCACCCATTTGGGATGAAATTTTAATTTCCAGCAACTGGCCTTTACCTGTTCATGCCCTTTCCCAATGACAAAATAACCTGACACTTGAGAATTTTTTTTCAGCCTTACAAATCCCCTTATGTGGCTCATAGCATGACCACATGAATGAACAGAATTAAGGGAACAAGCAGCCAGGCCGGAAACTCTTCAAGCTTGCATTTGGCTAGAATGATTCCACATGCATTAAGCTAATTATTTTGCCAAACTTACATCTTTCTTCTGTGTCCTTTTATCAGTAGCACAAATTACAATGGCCTTACTTGCTTTGTCCAATCAGAATTTCAAGCAGATGTTACAAAGCATTTTTATCTGGGGTAAAAAATTAATTTCACTGTGAATTACAAAGAAATCTAGATGCAAATGATGTCTGTGGCACATTAAATAGTGCATTAGTTACAGTTAACTCAGTGACAGTAATGTCTGTGTGAAAACTTGTCTCTCATTTTAAAGACTTTTTTCTGCCCTTCCTGCCTGAAAAAAACCAGTTCTTACTACAAACAACAATCCTCTGTTTACAAAGGAGAAACTATAGTAGCAACAGAAGCAGAGGAGAATTCGGCCACAACCAATTCAGAAATAAGTGCCACTCATAAAATGGGTTCCACTCATTCATATCATTAGCCAAGGGTTTTAGAATTCTAATTACATATTAAACCTATTTTAGTACTACAAATATTCTGATAGGTATCATGTGTGACACTATCAGTGTTTAACTTGGCATTCTAAGTAGGTAGAAGAAAGCTCTGTATCTCAGCATAGCATTCTAGGCCCTTCTCTATTACTCTTCCTTCTGAAACAAAACTACCTCATTTTCCCTGAGCTCACTAAGTTTTAGCTATCTGATTTTACAATTCTGTCTCTCTCACCCTTCTCTCCTACCCAACGCAAATATCTACTTTATAAATAAAAATGGACCTTAAGTGACATTTATTTAATAAGCATTCAGCCAGACTCACTCCCAGAAGCTTTCTGCACCCTGGTGGCTCTTACTCAAGATCTGAGTCCTACAACCCAGCCATGACCACAGCGGCTATAATAGGCAAATGAAAAGTAAATTCATCCCAGCTCTTACCTGACCACGGTTGTGAAGACTTAAGTCCAGTCCACATGTAAATTCAGTATGATGCTCGACTGTTTCCAGCAAAGGGTTAGGCTTGGAAAAGTCCCAGAATCTACAGAAAGAGGGAAAAAAGGAGAGGGGCAGGGGAATAAAAAAAAAAAAAAAAAAAAAAAAAAATCAAACAAATCACAATTAAAGTAATTGAAAGGCCATTTAAAAAAAATATAATGCAAGATATTGACAAATCTGTTGCTGCCAGGATATTTAAAAAAGCAAACTCATCCACTTAGGAAACATAACAGATCATACTCCTGCAAAGCCATCTGCTGATTTGCATAAACTCCACTGGGCAAAACCATCTTTGCCTCCTATTGCAGAAACTGAGATCAAAGTTGGCACCAAAGAGCAGCCATTGGGACATTATTAAAACAGAACAAAATGAAGGTTAGCATACTCTTATGTTTCTTGATGGCTGGGGAATTTTATCCCTGAAAGACATTCGCACAATTTACAGTTTTGCTCAGTTTTTCATCTTGCTTACTATGGAGTCTTTATTTACTGAAAACTACACATTCATTTAGAAATACTGGTCATTCCCAGTGTCAAATTTGAGACCCATCTTAAATTTGTTCCTATAAAACAAAATTTTATAATTTATTAATAAATTTGTATTACAAAGATCAGTTGCATTATGCAGTTAATACCTCTAATTTGTATTTCAAAAAGCATTTTTTCCTTTGATAGAAATGCTCAGAAGATTTCTGAAGTGCTCTCATTATCCCAGTTACTGCCTTGTTAGATGCAGTGTCCACCAATGCAGTTAACAACAAGGATAAGACAAGTGTAAGAGGAGATGGAATGAAAGTATAGGTACAGGTAACATCAGTCATGAGAAAAGGACTCAGGACTAGAACTTTCAGATAATAACATGCTGACAAGACACCATATGATGGCAGAAAAGAAAGGTTTGTTTTCTTTTTTGCATTGCATATACTGCTTAGAAAAGTCCACGGGACAGAAAGCACAGCACATTTTGTGGGCTGGCTGCTGTACTCAAATTTTCTACAGCTCACATTTTCACACAGTGGTCAACTGTATGCTTTTCTTCTTCTGCAACAAGCACAGAGGTCGCTCAGCCTTGCTGCTACTGGAGAAGGTAATAATACTTAATAAGAACAGTTCATTATCAGACCAACTACACTGAAAGCACTGTATGTTCAAACCAATTCAGGTAAAATAGCAAACACTGGAGCCAACAGGGTCAGTTTGTTTAAGGTGTAGATGTTATTTCGTTCATAAACGAGGAGAGTGGTATCAGCACAATGGATATGCCATAGCAACAACCCTCTTAACTTTTTCCTAGTACCTGAGATCTAACATAAATAACTTATTTTGCAAGAGAGAGGAGCAAAAGACCACCTCAGCATTTTCATTCTCCCACATTTGTTCCTAAGGCAAGAAACAGATCTCACTGTTTCTAAATAATAGTGATGGCCTTCCTTACCACATTAGCTCTATACTAAATCTTGAAAGACAATATGCTCATAACTGAAAACTAAGATGAAAGGAGACAACTTCTGATCCACATGAGCAAAAACTCAGAAAAGACTTTCTAATAAATTTAAAAGATCATAAGGCAATTTGGTGTTTGTTGTATGGAGTCACGTTTGCAAAAAGTCAGAAGCAGTACAGAGTTTAAGAGTACTGCAACTCGGTTCACATTCTACAGACTGTCACATGTTTTTATATGTGAAAATAATTACTAGTGAAAGCTCAAAAAAAAGAAAATGGTTCTCAGGACTGAGAACCACTGATGACTAATTAATGATGCCTTTCATATCAACCATACAGTCCAAAGTGAAAAAACCTCAGCAGCCCAGCTTCCAAAACTAGCATGGTGACAACATATTTTGCTCAGAGTGAATTTCCATTGCATTCTGAAGACTGAAAGCACAATGCAAGTTTTCTAATACAGTGTTTACCCCAGCAGGATAGCTGTAGAGCAAAATGAAGATGCATTCATAACACAAATAGGTGTGCTTGCATTACTTTAATTGTAGCTGTACCTATGCAGTTGGCAGTATGAATTTCAACAGGAAGCCAGAGAATCACATAAGCTTTTAGGGTCCCTTACAGGTTTGTAGAGCCTGTACAATCACAGGTGTGCCACCTGGATGGAACTGCCAGTTTCAGCCATATTATGTACATTAAAACTAGCACTGACAAGTGCAGTCACATCTGTATTGACCATAGATACCCTGCAACCTATATGAGTGCATTTTCTTACACTTTTTTTTCACTAGAACTGTTGAAAGTATTCCTTTTCTCTCATTTCTTGATAGTTTACTTGTTTTACATGTACTTCACATGCATGTATACTGCAAGCAACTGCTTATTCTAAACAAGCCATTATGCAAAGATAAAAAGCCTGTCTTCGTACCACCCACAGCAGTATCACAGAAGTCTATCTTCCTCCCCTACCAAAACACTTTTACCAACCCCCATTATTGTTTCTCCTGCTCCCTACCATGTCCTCCTTCCTACTCTACCTTCACATCTCCTGCCCCTGCCCCTTCACCACTGGCTGGGAAAAAAAGGCAGCAAGTATCATTTCAGGTTCCAGTGTCTGTACAAGGAAATACAATGCATATGTTGTGGCAGCCTACTGCTGCATGCTGAGGAGTCAGCAGACCAGCAAGCAGATTAGACAGGTGGTGCTTGTCTTTTGTCTTCCTTAAGGTAATACTTTGGATTTCCCTCTCTTGTATGCTCATGAGTTTTCATTAAATTTGTACAGGCTTAGCAAATTTAGACTACAACTTCCCTGTCATATCCAATTAAGTTTTCAATATGTTCAAATGTTACTTCAGGAAACGTATCTGGGAAAATGCACAGATGGAAGCACAAAGAACACAACTCCTGAAGTCCACTTCCTTCTGGGAAACAAAATATTTATGACAAATATGTATTTGTGAAAGCTTTACTGATGTTTTTAGGTTTTAAATTTTCTTCATACATTGTATTTTTAGGTGGCTGCCAATCAGATATTTAGAGGCTGACTTCCATAAAAAACAACTCAAAGACCAATGCCACCATGCACTTGCAACCACATCAGGCAGAAGTTACAGTAGCATATGGACGCATATAATCAGTAAGTTTTCAAGAGCAACCCAGAACTCAGTGTTAGTTTACTACCCATATATCACACATTTAATTTTCCTGCTTCCATTCTCTAATCCCTATGCAAAGATAGCTACCTGTAAAAGTTCTTCCTGCAAACTAGAAAAACTTCTGAGTAAGCTACTTTTGGATACAGGATAATCAGGGCAATGTTGTTACTTCAGGCATTAACTGGGAACTGAAAATCTAACTATTTCCACAATACTATCTTTTAGAAATTATTTCATTAAAGTTACAGTAAAGTATCAACACTATGAAGCTGCTCAGGTACAGAAGAAAGCCCTTATTCAAAGTATTATCTTCCATAAGCATGAAAGAAAAGAGGCAGAATTGATTGAGAGCCAAATCAAATGGAAGAGAATCTAAAAAATTAATTCTGAAATAGGTTTTACTTTTGAGTTTGCTCCAGTAGCATAGTTCTTCCCTAAGGACTCAATGTATATGCTTTATTTCAAAGTAATTTTTTGCTAAAATTCTCACTTAGTTTACTTCCTATAAACTGTATAAGAAAACAAACCACCTATGGAAGTATGACCCTACATATGCATCACTGTTTTTTCTTATTACATGTGTAAGTTGATGTTCTGAAAATGAAATCCCATGCATTTTGCTATAAGGTAAAATGGCAAGTTATCTGTTTCAATTCTTCAGCCACAATATAACAGAATAACTTCTAAGAACAACTTAGTTACTAGCCTTCATAATATCCCTTTTGAAGATCTGAAAGTTTGCAAAACTTACCATTAACTTTACTACTTTACTCCAAACAATGATTGAGAATAACTCTCATCATCACATGCTTAAAGCCATAATATATTTTAATCATCACCCTACTGAGGTACCAACCAAAGATCCTAAACCAGAAACAGAGCGCGCTGAAAAACAGGGCATGCTCACAAAATTAAGACACTTCTTGTCACTAAGAAGTTCTGATTTAAGAAATCCAAGTGAGAAACTCCATTTAGGCAAGTATATGCTTTCTCTAGTACTTTTAAATGAAAACAAGGTGCAGGCCGAGATGCAGCACCACATGCTAGTCTAATCCAGTAAAAAGAAGACATGAGCCTTCATAGGCTGGCTGGCATACAAGAGTAGTAAATTCACTGCTGCTGACAGTAATTTAAGCATAGTTATGAGAGTGAAGTTATCCAGCTGTTTGTTCCCCAATTTCTCCCCAAAACAGGAATTAACTAAAAGGGGATGGCAACTAATAGCTTATGGACGTGTGTGTTCTCATGAGCTTTTAGATATTCCCCATTCTTTGGTATCGTAATCCTAGACTGGAGCTTGAGTTCATTTTGAGACACGCCGCACTCTTCATCAAGCACTGGGAAATGTCAGTTGGCAAAAAATGGTTAAGTCAGGTGCCTGGGATATACAGTAGTGGTTGTCGCTAACCTTCTGTAGGTATGTGTGCTGTCTCTCAGTGCTTCTGTTTCCTTATCTGTCCACAAAAAAAAAACACCTTGACTTTGCCTTTCAGACAGAATACGTTTTGTAGAGAAAGATTTAAATGGATTTGTATGACAAACAGAAATAATAGATAGCTTCACAACCAAAAAGGAAAAGGGGATTATTTAGAAGAAACAAGAAAAAAACCCTGAAAAAAACCCCCAAATATCCTTTTGCTGTTTTTTTCAACATTATAGTGCTATTTATAGCACCAGAAAATTTATTTTCATAGCTAAAATATATTAGTCTATTTATGAGATGGAATCATTTGCCAAGTAGCTCCTGCAACCAACACTCCTAGTTCTCAGAGGAATTGCATCTTGTAATATTTATTTCAAAACTAGCATGGGCAGGCAGGAAAATGCCAGTGAACTTAAAAAAAGACAAGGACCTGGATATTCATTTATATGTCAAAATATTTACCACGAAATTTTAATTATTGTTTTTATCCAAAATGAACACATGTAAGAGAACAGATATGCTTTACACTAGCATGAGTTATTTTGACTAATTCTGTAGTTGCAAGAGACAGTTACATTGTAAATGAAAAGTACACGAAGTTCTGAATTTTATTTTCACCAGATGTAATGCCCAAAGCTCTGACTAGCACTGGCAACCAGGGGAATTAAAAAGAGCAAATGAGCAAACACCTTTTCACCCTGAGGAAAAAAAAAGGGGGGGGGAAGGGAAAAAGAAAAAAAAGACAAGGACAATTAACTGCAGTGAAAACCGGTTTCTCTCCTGAGCAGCATTACTGCACAAGTTCTCAAGATTGCTTTTGATCCAAGTTACTGAAGTTGTACTTTGTGATGGAGAGCTGGAGAGAGTGGTTTACCTTAAAGCATCTTGAAGAGATGGTGTCCAGTACAGTACAACCTTCACCAAAAATCATCTTACTGCCTCAGAGACAAGCTTCTGTGAATGCACTTCAAGATTTGGCCTGATATCAGCTTAATGAAGTCCTATAATTTATCAAATCTTTTGAGTTTGGTGAGCACTGTCTGTGACTAATGCACCAACATGTTTTTTCAATACTGAAGAGAGTCCAAAAATACAGAACAGTGATTCCAGTAAGAGATGACACCGATGTTCTTTCAAACTGAATTTTGATAGAGATAATGTTTAAGAACATGCATGCAGATCTAAATAAGTTTTGGAAATATTCAGTACTTTGTGCATTTCCTGGTATTTTAATGATTCATTTCTGTTAAAACTGCTCCTTAAGTAACCTGCATTTTTCCTGAACTCTTCCAAAGAGTAAGGAAATGGTACAGAAAAAAAAATGTTTCAATGGCATTTCCAGACAGGAGTTAAACCAAACTCATTACACCCAAGTATGTAAAACTCAAGTTAAAATTTACCCTCTTTTTTCTTAGCCCCCAGTATGAAGCTGAAGTGAAATAGTTTTCTTTTCAGTGGCTTTACCACAGTGAACACATGCAATCACTGACTGCTTTTGTTTGGAAGGGACCTTAAATATCATGTAGTTCCAACCCCCCTGCAATGAGCAGTGACACCTTCCACTAGACCAGGTTGCTCAAAGCTCCAACCAGCCTGGCTTTGAACACTGCCAGGGATGGGGCATCCATAGCTTCTCTAAGCAACCTGTACCAGTGCCTCACCAACCTCACAGTGAAGAATTTCTTCCTAACATAAATCTACCTCTTTCAGTTTAAAGCCATTCCTCTCATCACTACATGCTATGTCCACTACAATCATTATACTATTTGCAAAGGATGAAGCTAAGCATTGTTAACTTTGCTTTCAACCAACTATTTTTTGCTTTTAGATATCCAGTTATAATTATGTGACAAACTAGCTGTTTTACCAGAAACAAGCAAAACCTCTGCCTCTTACCTGACAGTTGAGTAATCTTATCTAAGATTTGTATTTGTCTGGTTAAACTATAAAGCTTCAGTAACTTTTTTAAGATCAGAAAGCTTAAACAGTAAGCTATGCTGTACAGATTTATCTACTATATTTTATTGCTTACTTACAATTCTAAGCTTCAAACAAAATGTTAAAGAAAATAAAAGACCCTATTATAAGTAAGCTGCTATTAAAATAACACTGTATCAATGAACCTGTTTTTAAAGGGCTGTTACATCATACTGTTCTATGAATTACTTTTAAATGTGGCTGAAGTCACAGGCCCTCAGTAGATGTAGCCATGTACTGAATCTGTACTTGCCTTTTACATTTTAAATATTTATCAAGTATTTTTGTTCTTAAATTGAAATGTATATATAGTTATGTCCACGTGTCTGTATATGCCTGTGCATATGTGACAGAATGTGTACATGCATGTGCATGTGGAGTGGATGGTGTATCCAGTCAAATTCTCAACATTTCTAAGTGAACTCCACTTCTTACTGTGCGTTATGCTCCTTCCTGCAAATGACAGCACAGGATATGTAGTACAGGTACAACATGGTCATCATTTCATATCCTTTAAAGTAGATGTTCCCGAAGCGTTGTCATTACAAATTTCCTCCATTATACAGATTATTTTGCTTGTGCCTCCTTTTCCAAAGACTTTCACCTGGTCTTCTCTGTTGTTTGTTCACTCATACAAAACATACCAAGTCCAGCAACTAACAGTTTTAGAAAACTAAAAATCTGCACTTCATCTTTTCAACCCCACCCTCTACCCCTAGTGACAAGAACTAATTGTTTGGAATGAAAAGTAACTCCTAGTGTGGCATTTTGTGAAAAGATTCCCAAGCTCTTCATTTAGAGATACACTGGTATATAAGCTAGGAGCTCTCTCCATGTTTACTGACAGCTTCAACATATGAAAATTTCAGAGCTGAAATTGCAGTAGATTTCGGTACCGCATGAAGCACATTAATGCTAAACCTGAAGGACGCACAGTTGGTGTCAAAACTGGGAAGAGCATGACAATACAATCAAGTCACTTCAATGCATCAGTATGCTGATTATTAGTCTTACCGCTCATACAAGGCCACTGGAAGAAATCAATTATCAGTTTTTATTTTAGACCTAGAAGACTTTTGAAAAACTGTATGCTGCAAACCAGCTGGCACTGCATCAGGAAAGAATGCTAACTAAGATCCCATAAATAACCTTTCACAGACCACTGTGCAGTATTCTGAGAAGAGTGTTTTAAACATAAATAAAATTAAGCACTTTATGTAAGACAGAATGCTGGTACAGCAGCCTAGAAAGTTACACACACATGGACATCACAGCACTTACACTGTTGGGCTCCTAGCACCAACCACAACCGTGGGTATCACTGGCAAGGTGCTCCCCTTATTACAGTAAGGGAAAGAGAACAGATCTCCCACAGATGGGTCCACCATCACCCCCACCCCCAGGAAGCAGCAGCAGGATCTCCCTGCAGCCTAGGACCTAAAAGGCAACATCTTCTCTAGCACTGTTGAGGTTAGGACTCAGATATGTCAAGAACAACTGCTCCAGCAACTGTCTCCCTGTGGAATGCGACCATTGTCACTGTACACTTTCAAGCAGTCCCACACCATCTACAGCAGAGCTCTGGAGCCCCTTTGCACTCCTGCGTGTTTCTGTTAGCTGCATTCTGGGCGCTGCAACCAAGAGGCTGGATGAAAACAGTCTTCCAGCTATACCACACTTTTGAAAGTATACAAAATTCCTACAGTGCTTAACATGCTAGCTTCATGATGCAACTTTATATGATGTTATGGAACAAGACTAGATTTATATAAATTTATGATGTAAAAATATTTACAGACAATGATAGTTAGCAACATTTCCCTTACAAAAGAGAACCTTTCCATGTCTGGTGTCAGACCACTTAGGACATAATCAGAAGTGACACTAATTGGGATGATCTGGGCAAGTCACTTATGGAGGCAAGAAGGCTTCTCCCATTTGTAAATGTCCTGCCTAGTATATTCAGTCCATGTTATAAAATTAAAATGCAAACTAAAGAATGTGATTGAACTATTCAAGAATGTACTTCATAGTGTATCGACTTACAACACTGTGCATCTTAGAAAAGTTCTTATATGAAGTCAAACTTCTTTAGGACTTTTAAACAGCTTTACATCAGCTGTACTGTAAAATCCTCAGCAGAATCAGATATACTGGACAGCCAGGGGAACTTGCAGAAGTACTGGAAGAACTTTAGCATAAACACTGTGAACAATACTAAAGCTTCCTCAGATACTGGTAGGAGAAAAAAAATTGTTAATGAAAAACTTATATAAAAATATGACACGGAAATATAAGAAGTCACCCACCTACATTCATTTAAGAGGTTATTACCTTCAGACACTATCACAGCCGGATACAACTACATTCAGCAGAATGATGTGAAAAGGATTACAGAAAGCATCTATCATAGCAGATATCATTCAGAAGAGTCACTTAGCTAACCTTTAAATGAAGAACCAATGCATTTTCGACATAGCTTATGAAGAGAGAAAACACCCGATAGAAACATTAACTGCAATTCAGTATGTCCACTCTAAAACTCTTTTCTAATGCAAACCACATTGAAACAGATTATCTTTCCATTTTTAGCCAATAAAAAGATACCATACCTCACAGTAAAATCATAGGAGCAAGAGGCCAATAAGGTTGCATGGAATGGTGAAAACTGCAAGAAAACAAAACAGAACAACTTTTAAAGTAAAACAATGTGAACATATGCAGTCTTAATATAAACTTACCAAAGTTTAACTATTTAAACTGTCTTAGTAGGTACCACATCACGCTGCAACAAAACTGACTACATCAACAAATTTCCCTGTTATGCTTCTAATTACAATGAACGCTCTATGTGACCCTGGTTTGGTTTGATTTTATTACAGCAGTGCCAAACAACCTTCTTGTAAAGTTAAGAAGTTTTAGGACAGTCATATAAACAGCTGTTAAACTCTGCTTTTGGCTGACAAGCTGAGTATCATCTCATTATATAAAGTAAGTTTCGGAAAAGCTATGTGAGCAGTTTATTATTTTCAGAGAGAGAAAACTTGTGCCATACTACAGAGAATGTAAGCTATATTACTGTCATCAGTTCCATGTCCTAAAGTTTTGAAATTATTTACAGAGATGGGGAAATTGGAGATACGTTGAAAAATTGAAAGCAATATAACATCACTTCATAATTTTCTCCTCTTCTGCAGGGCATTTTATGGGACATGATCTTCTGTGGACTCTTGCAGACAGGTCTAAGAACTGAAGCAGTAAGGATGCAGTTATGCAAAAGCTCTTCACTTTGGCTCCAGCTATTTTACTTCAGTTCCACCTATTTTAAGGTCTGTATTCCTCAACAGCAAATAATGGCGTAACTTCAGTTTGGAATGCAGGTCCCCCAGATCATGGTTCAAATGTAAGATTTTTTCTGTAAGACTTTCTCTACTACTGACAGCTACTACAAAGTCAAAAGTGCCATAATTGCCCAAGTTGCCAAGAGAGCTGTGTCTGTTGCTGCCTGCTAAATTCTGCTGACAGAGTTCTCTTTACTAGAGCAGAATTGAGGGATGTGCATGCTTGAACTTTACTATCCTCAGATTTCTTAAAAATTTTCTAGAGGAAAAAAAAAAAGCCAAAATGTCTTTTTCTTCTGCACCTCAGAAGAGGGAGAGAGAGGTCTGATGTGCAACAAAAACCAACGGCAGACTTCCCACATGCCACCTTTGCATTTTTGTCCACATAGTTTCAGATGAAGCAAAAACATCTTGTCAAGGCCGAAAAGTTTTGTCATTAACCTTAAGTGTCCTAGAAACTTACCTAAGCAAACTCTGTCTAAATACTTAGCAGTATTTGAACACGTAAGTTGAAAGAATTTGTGTAATGTCTTTCTGCTACCAAGACAGTATTTTAAAATTCTGTTCCACTGAACTGTAAGATTCTACAGTTCTATCAACTTAACAGTTGTATGTAAAAAGAAGAGATGCATGTCCAACATTTCACAGATCCCTCATCTAAGTATCCTTTTGAGTAAACTCAAAAACCGTAACTACATTTCAGTATAAGACATCGAAGCCAGCAAAGATATGAGACAACCAAAAGCACCAATGTCAAAATCTCCTGGGAAGGACTCCAGATGACCTCAGTATGCTGATAATGCCCTGTTCTGCAGTGGAAGACCACAAGAAATCTGAAGGAATCCTGACAGTATCATAGTGGGTAGAGTTCTTCGACAGGCTTGGATATGACAATCCATGCAACCCCAAACAAGTGAACAGAATATAAATGACAGACCACTGAAGAGTGTGATTTCATGGTTGGCTTAAGCTAATTTAAGAGTGCACTGCTGCCAAGACTTGTGGTTTTCCCTTTCCTTTCCACTTCAGGCTGTGTGCTCCTGCTCCCCTCCTTTGTGTCAGGGCTTGCAATGATGCGGTTGAGTCACAAATTGAGACAGCTTAGTGATCCAGGCAGAAATCAGTCACTTTTAGGGACAGGATCTTCAGTCAGAGTGATCAGCTGGGCCAGCTTGCTACATACACAGCCTTCTAATTGCTAGCATCAGCACAATGTAAGAGAAGGGACATCAGTAGGGACAGCTACCTCTATTTAGGCCAAATCCAGGTCTCCATTTAGTATGACTGCTGAATTACACCACACAAGAGCAGATAGGCTGCACCACCTCTAAGTGCTGGGCCACATTCTCATACCTCATGTCCACAGGGACCGTGTGTATCTTGGAAATGGAAGCATAAAATCCTGCTAAGACAGAAGTCATGTACTCTCACATACCTCTCAACTACACGTGTAGACACATATAGCCACCCCACCACCTCCTTAAACCCACTTAGTGAACTGATCTCAGAGGTTGGTGCAAAGAAATTCTACAGCTGGCCAACTCCTAATAATAATTTCAAGGCACATTAAGAAAACAGGGAGCACGATAAAATGGAAACTCAGACGAGACAATGTAAGAATATAAAAATACCCTACCTGGTTAGGCTAACAGCCTTCAAGACCAGTGCTCTATGTTTACATAGCATGGTATTTTAGTTCGTACAGATCACCTCTGATCCTCTCACTATATACCACCGAGAAGAGTCAGGCTTTGTCTTCTCCTTTACGCCAATCATTCATACACAGTGACATGATCCTCCCTAAGCCTTTTCCATGCTAAACAAACCCAGCTCTCAGCCTCTCCTGGTAGGACACAGGTTCCAGTCTCTTAATCTTCTTTGTGGCCCTTTGTTGGATTTACTCCAGTATGTCTGTCTTTCCCTTGTACTGGGAAGCCCGGAACTGGACGCAGCACTCCATATGTGGTTTTACTGGTGCAGTGAGTAGTGGGGAAGGATCACTTGCCTCAGTCTGCTGGCACACTCTTTCTAATGCAGCCCAGGATAATAGGGAGGAGAGAAATTAGAGATGCTATCCCTGTCTAGCTCTTCTACTACGTTTATTGATCCATGAACCTGATGACACTGCCTGCCTATACACCCTTCTTGTGCTGAGAGCTAATTCAAGAAGTCTACAATCTGATGTGTAAAACAAGTACTTCCATCTGTTTGCAAATCCACCTACTAGTTTCATCAAGTGTCCTTCAGTCCTATTATCACAGGTTATGGTGAATAACAATTCTATAGTCACTTTCTCCATTTCATCATGAAAACAATATGCTATGAATCCCTTAGTGGTATCTTTGAAAAACAGCTCTGCCACTAACTGTCAAAGAGTAAGAATGTGACAGTCTGTACTGATTCATACTGCATTGATTCATCTGTCTTAATGGGTGTCAAACGGGAGTCACAAAATAATCTTGTTTAAAAAACAAACTCACCACTGCTAAATGTTCTTCTGCTGAGAAGAACATTTCACAGAGCCAGGTTAGAGCACGGTCATGCAGAAATTAAAGTACAGAAAAAGACTAGACATCTACTACCAGTGGGGATAGCAGGCAAGGGTAGCTGGGATAAAGAAAGAGGAGCAGAAGCTTCTCTGGCTGTCTGGCCACAAACTGGAGTTGCTATATGGAACTACTCCCTACAGCCACACCCTTTTCTGACAAATTACAACCTGAGCACAGTAACTTTTAAAGTTGTTAGAAATACATAAAAAATTCCAAGGGCATGTGAAGTAAAATACTGACCCAGGATAATTTTTTTCTGTCAGTTCAGTCTTCCTAGAAAATATTATAAAAAATACCTGTTCCTGAAAGCCTTTAAAAGGATCATATATTATATAATATAAAAAAAAATAAGCTCTGATTAATATGAAAATAAAAAAGTATGCATCTAGAATAAATTCTTATCAGTGGTTGATCTAGTAACAGTCAGACCCAGAATGACCATCTGAAGCCTTTCATGTACAAAGTTTCAAAAACTCTTTGAACATACTAACACTTTCCTTGTGCTCACAAAACTACATATTCACGAGTTCTATACCTTCCCTTATATGAATATTGACCTTTTGTATGGAGAGAAAAAGGCACAGCACCATTGAAAAAACAAATAAGGGAGGGTATTTCCCCTCTCCCACGTCTCCCTTGTAACTTAGCTCTCAAGCTCTTGAACACTCCTCATGGATAACATATTGACTTTGAAGATGTCATTTACTTCAAAATCCCAGCAAACTGCTAAACATCAAAGTGTTTTACAGTGCTAAACTGAAGGTTTCCAAGAACAGTCACCATAGCATCTAAAATCTTCAACACCTGTTGCGTTTTTTTTCCTAGTTATTAGATACTATATTACTGCTTTCCACACAAAAAAAAAAAAAAAAAAGGTAGCAATTCAGTGGTGGTCAGTGGGGAATAAAATACAACTTACTTTTACTCTTCTGATAGCATAGGTATGACCAAGCAAGATGAACACTGGTTGTCGGATGTTCCGCAAATCCCAGCCTTTCAAGCTACAGTCAACTGCACCAGTTACCAGCAAGTTCTGATGAGTTGATAAAACACAGATATATCAGGAAAATTTAATTATTAAATTGCAGTGAAGCATGTGCTGGCTATAAAAGTTAGGTAAATGAAACAACAGAAATTAATAAATCATAAACGAGGTCTTCAGCATGTAAATTAAAAGAGAACACAGAAATACAAACTGGTTTTCTACTATGGACTATTCTGTCTACTATACAAAAGAATAATCAAAACCTACGATCCAATTGGGCCATATATCTGCTAGAACAACGCTCTTCTGAAGAGGTTGTCATGAATGAGAGCAATAAAGCAACTAGACATATTTTTATAAAGAGAAGATGTATTAATTTTGCAGTAAAAAACCCTGCTATTTAATGAGAGTGGTTCGGTTAGGAAAACAGTTGGATGAACAGGTTAATACCTCATCATATTTGCACCAGTCACAGCTCAAAATCTCAGCCTCGTGGGCTGGTATCACAAGTTTGACTCGTGGGGCTTTCACATCCCAAACTCTTATAGTCTGGTCCCCTGAAACAAAAAAATTCATTCAACATTGTTGAATCAGTTATGGGATACAGTTAATTCACTAGTACTTAGTAGACAACTGCTTCTTAGCTGTATGAGATACAAACTACTATATGAAGACACTCTTCCCAAATAAAGCAAGCACATTATAGGCTCAGAGGCCAGACTGATGCACAAAAGGAATCAGAACTTGCTACTGCTCTTTCATTAGGAAAAAAACCCAAATAAACAAAACCAAACCAAACACTTCATTTTTTTATTAACGCTTTTTTATTTTTTTGAAGTCTGATTTGATTGAAAGGACATAAGGTAAAATGCTTGCATGACTTTCAATTAAAGGAGGAGTATAAGGCCCATCTAAAAAAGGACTCAGAAAACCAGAATAATGAAAAAACTTTCTCTGCAAGCCAGCTAGGAAAACATGCTTTTGGTACACAGAAAAGTGAGTAGTACTTAAAATGCAACTTAGCTGCAGATTCTTTCAACTAAAGGAAAATTTAAGACACATTACCTGTACTCCTCATGAGCAAAACCTGCACAGTTACTCTCATAATTGAAATATTGGAAGATAAAGTAATTCTTGCTGTAGCTGTTACACATATTAAAGGCAATGTCCGCTTTAACCTCAGACCACATACACCTGCACATGTGCACGCACAAACTCAAAGGTTTTCAGAGAGCTATGAATGGTGTCCAGCTTAATTTAAGGCTGCAAATCACCTGAGCCTCTCTTTACCTTCAGTCAAAAATTTGTCTTCTACTCCTAAAGAACTTTAGCATTTGTGTATACCCTTCTAACAAATTCAGTTCATAATGGCTTATAAAGACCTGGAAAACTGCATCAGCTGACAAGACAACCATGCTTTTCACTTTTTTTAATAGGGGTTCCCTTATTAACCCTGAATATTTAGCTCTGTATCAGCAAAACCTGATTGTGCAGCTCATTTGTTTACAGAGAGATAAAATTAATTAAGTTCATTATTATGTCTATGTTCAATCAAGAGACAAAAAAAAAGATCACTACAAGCTACATCCAAACATCCATGAAATTACTATTCTTTCTTTACCAGTAACACTTCTGAAAATCCTCAAATTAGTTATAATTGATAATAGAAATTTCATGCTGTTTAGATACAAGCATTTTGATGGTTTGAGTGCCAAGCTGGTCACTGACCTTAAAATATACAGCTGGGCACCAAAATCATACCTCTTTTCAAGAAACTGGCTACAATTCAAACAAAACTATCCCTAGAATCACAACAACAATATTCCTATTCCTACAGACCCTGTAGACTTTGCAGAAAGACCTAAAATGTTTTGCAATTTTTAATACAAAAATTAAGCTAGAAAGTGCTTGGTTCCACTATATGACACAAAACTGGCCTTATGACTGTAGTACTATACAGACCACAGGAAGCTTTGCTCTGATGGTTGGTTGGCTTTTCCTCAGACTCCACAATGCAAGAGATACTGTACACTTGGTGGGTAAATTCCCTAACTGTGTGGTGGGAACAACACATGATTTCTTATGGTTTTCACTCCCCTCCCCTATTCTAATACTGTCAAGAGCAAGACTGCTGCTCAGAATAGTATGTACAGCACTCCTGACAGTAACACCCTGCAGTCAGCTGAAGCCCCAAACATCATTATGGTGCTTATAAAAACAGGGAGACATATGGAGACCAGCAGGGTCTTGGCAGAAGAAAAAAAAAAAAGCTAGTACACCCATCCACCCACCATTAGTCCAACTAATCTGCTTGCCTGCAGAGGACAGATTTCAGTTTGAGGCTTAAGTCCATCTGAAATATAATAATGGACTTCTTAAAAAGCTTTCAATTTCATCAGATAACATAGATTTGAAGGGGAAATGCATATTTCACTGCAGACAAGATCATTTTTTCCCAAGCACATAAATGTACAAATCCAGGTGAACTGGAATTAACTGCTACAGAGCTGGACCACAGTAGCATTATGAGAGCCAAAAGCATTTGGAAAAGTCAGTTACTCTGCCAATAGCAATTTTAACACTAAAGATACAATTGCCCCAATTATTTCTTTTCTAATAGAAAATGCTGATGCACAGGAAAAAGAGTTATTTTCCCTTTCTTTTTTTCTTTGAAAATGCTAGACTTAGCTGTTATTAATTCTGGCTGGCACTATTCATGAGATGTTTTTAATGGAGTAACATAACATGCAAACGAACCTTTCTGTGAATAGAACAGATTGAATTAAAGCCACAGGCAAATCAAGTTTTTCCGTTTAAGTGGAAAAATCAGATTAATAGCCAAAAAAAAAAAGGGGGGGGGGGAGGGGAACCCCCAATGTAATCTTGCCAAATTACATATTTTGAGAGCGTATTTTTTTTTTTTTTTTTTTTACCTCAAACATTCATGTCCTCACAATATATGTATTTTTTCACATTTCGTTTCAACAAAAAATGCAATTAAACACTTTGGAATTTCCACATTTCCATGATTCCTTCAAATCTGCATTACAAAGGATGCATTTCTTCCATATGGTAAAGCAGAAGTAGGACAATAATAAACAGTACAAGTAAAGCACACCTAGTACAATCATATTCACTAACAGCCACTTCCAGTTGGCATCCCAAAGTAAGCAACCACAAAAATGGCCAACAATTCCCCCACAAAATACTTCTATTTTTGTAGGAAGCAATTTCTCTATGGCAACAGATTTTTGCTGGTCTGTTGGATAATTATGATACCAGATCTGTTTGTATATTGTACTTGCTTTCTTTCATTTTAATGAATATTTGTGAAATCTTGGACGAACCAATAGAACTACACAATATATACTCATCTATTCAAAATTTTGAAAGGGATGCTAATCTACAAGTACATCACCCCGTACATGGGATAAAGACTGCTAATGTGAATAATAATGCATGACAGTGAAAAGATACAGTTTATTTAAGATTTAAATTTCATGTTGGTTTTATACTGTTTTTTTTACACACTGACGTATTTTACCCAAATCCATAAATCATAATCTTCTAAATCCTGTGAAAACAACCACCTAAGTCCTCACTGTCAGACACTGCAGAGGTAAAACATTAACTATAAAAAAAAATAGCTAGATATTTGGAAGATTAACAGAAGTCCAAGAAACCTTGAACACCATCTGAAGGCAAAAAAGATTCTAACCAGGACAAATAAAACTTTTTTCGAGAAAGAAAGTACTGGTAGTTTAAAGTTTTATTAAAAATAAAAAATATTTTCTGGGGTGTAGGGTATTTTGTTTTCCCAGGGGGGTGTGGGGGTGGTTGTTGGGAATTTTTTTATTCTAAAGCAAGAAATCTGATCTGACACTGGTCTCTCATTGAGAGAAAAAGAATAACAAACTAATAATGTATCTTCAATTTAGTGTAGGAAAAGAATTCAGCATAAAACATAAGTATGGCATATATGGTGTTACATCACAGAATCATAGAATCGTGTGGGTTGGAAGGGACCTTCAAGATCATCTAGTTCCAGCCCCCTTTCACAGGCAGGGACACCTTCCACTAGACCAGGTTGCTCAAAACCCCATCCAGCCCAGCCTTGAACACTTTCAGGAATGGGGCATCCACATCTTCTCTGGGCAACCTGTTCCAGTGCCTCACCACCCTCCTTAGGATGAACTTCTTCCTAATGCCTAATCTAAATCTTCCCTCTTTTAGTTTAAAACCATTACCCCTTGTCCTATCACTACACTGGCCTTTTAAAAAGTCAAAGAAACCTCGATTAAATTACTTCTGTAGTCCCACCAAATGCTTACAAGTTAACATTACTTGCTTACTTGTATGTAGTTTTTAAATACTAAACCAGATTACATGATTTAGCCAGGTTCAAATAGAAAATCTGTGGAAGAACAAAGAGCAGAAGCCAAATCTTATGACTCTCAAAACCAACCTTTTTAGACATATTAAAATGATCATGTTGCCCATTCCTGTCTTAGATAGTTGTCCTGATTTTGCCTGGAATACATTAATTTTCTGCATAGCAGCTGGTATAGGACCATGTTTTGGATTTAGAAGGAGAATAATGTTGGTGACACATTGATGTTTTAGTGTAAGCACTGCTGAGCAACAACTAAGTCAAGGACTTTCAGCTTCTGATGCTGCTGTACCAGCAAGGAGGCTGGTGATGCACAAGAAGTTGGGAAGAGACACAGGAGGAACAGCTGACCCCAACTGAAAGAAGGGATATTCCATACCATATGACATTATGCTCAGCATATAAAGCTGGGGGAAGAAGGAGGAAGGGAGGACATTCAGAGTGATGGAGTTAGTCTTCCCGAATAACCATTGTGCGTGATGAAGCTCTGCTGTCCTGGGGATGGCTGAACACCTGCCTGCCCATGGGAAGTGTTGAATGAATTCCTTGTTTTGTTTTGCTTACGTGCATAGCTTTTACTTTATTATGAAACTCTCTATTTCACAACAAAACCCCACAAGTTTTCTCACTTTTCTAATCCTCTTCCCCATGCCAATGTAGGGGGGGAGTGAGCGAGCGGCTGTGTGGGACTTGGTTGCCAGCTGGGGTTTAACCACAACAAGAGTATAAGCAAACCTAGAACAGGATTAACAAAGCTCTTGAGATTCCCCACAAAGAGACAGATAAAGAGTGACACAAATAGACTGACACAAAAGATTACTGAAATCATCCAACAAGACTCCACTGAATGCAAAAAATCTATTTCCATGTAGCACAACCAGATACCAAGAAAATGTAATTACCAGTGGAAACATAGTTTCCAACTGGTACTTTTTCAGTTTCATACAAAATGCTGTAGAGATAAAAATCAAAAGAGGTTTAAGTTATTTCACAGAAGGGCTCTATTGAATCTTTTTATGGAGAAAGTAAATTGTTAAAAAAAAAAAAGGCAGTGAAAAATTTTATTTCAGTGTTTTCCAAGATGATTAACCATAAATCTTGGGACAAAGTTTTTATTTCAAAATTGACCTTACTTATGACTTATTATTAATCCATTCTTCAGCAAATAGCAATATTGGCTAAATACCCAACTCTAACCCAAACAACCCAAAACATATTAATTCACTGTAAAAAACCTCTTACTGTACTTTCCTTCTCAACACTAAACCATTATTTTACAATATGAGATTATAATATAAAACAGTGTAACCTGAAATTGTTTTATATTCTAGCATGTGCTGCATACAATACTTCACTATGGTTAGCACATATTATAAATTGAGGCCCAAATTCATTTCCTGAGAAATATTTCAGCTTGTACTTTAGAAGTTGATTTAGTAAAGCTTACTGAGCAAAGGACTCAGATTAATTCAATTCTGTGTTGGTATTTCTTGAAGCAATAAATTGCAAATGAAAACACCCACCTTACTTCAATACATAGATTTGACACAACAAAATAAGCAAGCAAAATAAGCAAGTAAGTTATATTTTCACGGCTCCCAGTATGAATAGCAGTTTAGCTATACTGCAACAAAAAACAGTAACTCTGTAGTCAGCTTGCTATCTAGATGCTTGATTTGTAGAACAAGGTACCACGCAGTAAATTGAAGCCTCTTATTCTTTTATCCCTTGAGGAACTGGATTCAAAAAATGACCAACTTTTGCAAAGCCCTGACACTTCATCATGATAGCATTTCGTTTAGTACATTCAACAGATAAACAGCTAGGAAAGAACTTGCAAGAAGCAAAGAGTGGACCCACACCACACACAAACTGATGGAATATAAGCCTCAAATAGTGTTTTGGAACTCATGACAAACCACGGCAGAACAGAAAATTATTTCCTTCAGTTTTTTAGGAACCTGAACACAAACATCTTTGGAATTACTTGTCTGCAAGCCCCACTCCCCAACAGCCCCTTGTTTTACCCTGTGCTCCTTCTGAGGCAGGAACATAAGCTGAAGCTTGAGGAAGCTGAAGACAAAGACACAACAACCCCAAATGTCCACATGGAAAATACTTCTTTACTAAGGAGCTGCACTGACAGCTATTCCTTTCCAACTAATTCAGTAACCATCCGCTTCATAGATGTACACCTTCCCCGGCTCATTACTTCATGCAAACAAATTTGTTAATTTTTAGTCTTCTTTCACAGTTTAGATCCCAAACACAGAAAGGCGTGCCAAGACTACATGCCAGCCTGAGTTATGAAACTACAAGCTTGACAACCCTGTAACTACACACATTTGTCACTAAGAGACCAGCAGGGAAGAAGACAAACTTTTTAAAAAGGCAACACACTATGCCAAGGCTGGCAATAAAACAGAACATGAGAAAACTTGTATTTTTAAATTTTAATCTTAAAACCTAGCACTGAATGCAAGGGCTTCCAAAGAGCAGAGGTTAGATTTACGAGTTCATTTGTAAATCAGCACATTTATAGTTCTCAAACACTTTCATCAACATAATAAAAATTTCTCAGAAATGATCACTCCTTGTTGTAGCAAAAGTAATTTTATTTTTTTCTGCCCTGGGCTTTCAATCTGAAAAAAAATTAGTCTTTGAGCAGAGAATGCAATTAATTAATCTAAATACTGATGAATATAGACATTATCTTACAGATTTAAGAAATGCTTCTTTCCCTTACTCATGATTTAAGATGTTACGAAAACTATGTATCTGCCCTGATCAGTAAACTTAAGGAGCACAGTAATGTTTCTAAAGTGAATGCAGCATTAAAACTGAGGTCCCAGCAGCTAAGATAAAAGCTAGCATTTGGTCTAAATCTGGGCTTTGCTGAATTCAAACCATTTATATTTTCATTTGCCGGTGTCATATCTGTACCCAAACATACTACAGTTATGCCAATAAGGGTAAAATGGTACTAATTAATTACTTCCCACTGGCAATAAAAATAGCTGATACTATAAAGGACAGCTTCTTTATAAACCACAGGACCAGGCAAGGCCTCTGCAGTTAGGGAGAATCATTGAGCAGAATTGATTTACATTTGACTATACAGTAACTTTGCGTGCATTTGGCACTGTCTTTATGTGTCTCTCATTGATTTGTTCTCTTGGGTTGAAAAAATAAAAAAAAAAAAAAGAAATAGAGAGAGAGACAGAGACCTTCTGGGCAAATGACACAATGACTCATTAAACCCTTTCAGCCATGAAGATGCTTTTAAATGTTTATGTCACTTCTTTAATGACATTTTCTGTATCGGTGTTTTTTCAGTGTAAGGCAGACATTTACCAGGGCTCTGGTTTGGTGTCGCACGTACACCTGAACATCTTGCTTATCTTATCAGCTCAGAAATTGTTGCTGACATCACAATAGTAGCTATTTACATACACAGAATTAAGTTTGTTCTGTTACTATTAACTCCCAATTTTAAACAAAAGAAAACGGTAAGCCATTTACTTGCTTTCTGAAAATACAAATGATTGCATGTGAAGACAACAGCATATTAAAATACCTCATGCATCCCTGTAAATGTTAATGGAAGTGTATTAGATACTGAATGAAAGCTAATTTAACTCAAGCATCAGATATATTTATCTTCTCTATTTCAAATCCATTTTACTGCCCACTGCAGACAAACTTAGTTTTCCTGTATGTATTCAGATCGGAGACCTAATGATACAAAATAACTACCCTTAGTATCAAATTATTTTTCAACTGCTTTACATTGCAGTTTTAGGTTTCTCATTTTCTTCACTCATATTCTTTTTCTAGTCTCATAATAGTTTGAGAAAAAGTCATATCCCAAAAGCAAATATTTAACCTTATTAGCTTCATGCAAAAGTTGTCTAGGCATATAAAGGTCCTTCTGAGCAGCTGTTCTACTGTGGCTTACAGTCATGTTTGGTTTTCTGTTTTCAGTGTTCAATTATCTAAGTGGAAATTAAACTTCTGCTGGCATCTATGTGGATTCAAATAATGACAGAAAAAGGGCAGGGGTGAGGCATACAAAAGCTTCCTAAATCTCCTTCTTTCTTACCTTATTTAAAATAAAAAGTAAAAAAAGTGCCTGCTTTACTTAAATTTACCTAAATCACAAGCATTTCAAGACCAACATTTTTTCCAATCTATGGTTAACAATACACCTAACTTATTTTACTAACACACTCAAAACTGAAAACGCTGCAACATGAAACAGTTCATTTCTGGTCTAAAGTGCTAAGACTTTATACTATTAAGATATGAGTAAATACATGGTTGTGAGTAGGTACAGAATCATAAAATCATCGAATAGTTAGGGTTGGAAAGGACTTTACGAACATCAAGTTCCAACCCCCCTGCCATGGGCAGGGACACCTCACACTAAACCATATCACCCAAGACTTCTTCCAACCTGGTCCTGAACACTGCCAGGGATGGAGCATTCACAACCTCCCTGGCCAACCTATTCCAGTGCCTCACCACCCTAACAGAAAAGAATTTCCTCCTTATATCCAATCTAAACTTCCCCTGTTTAAGTTTTAACCCATTACCCCTTGTCCTATCACTACAGTCCCTAATGAAGAGTCCCTCCCCCGCATCTCTATAGGCTCCCTTCAGATACTGGAAAGCTGCTATGATGTATCTGTGAAGTAGGATGACAGAAAGGGAACAGAAAGGGCAAGAAAGAGAGAGAACACATACACGCACACACACACACACACACACTATAAACCTAAAGCAGCACAGCCTCCTTCAACAATACCCTTCAAAAAGATTTTGTTTTACAAGGGCTAAAAGAACTAAGAGAAGCGAAAGGAAGTACAAAGTCTCCCTTCAGACACATTTTCAGTTACTAACTTTCAAGAAAAAGGCTTGAAATCAGAGAAATTTAAGCCACTGGAGCTAATCTACCAGTATTTGAATTAAGGTAGTGTCTTATTATCCCTTTACTTCCCAAGCAAGCTCTATGGCTCACAGCACCCATCACCCAGTTAGCCAGCAGTTAGGCTCCAGGTCTCACTCCAGAGTTGTCCTTGTCTCTCTGGAGCAGGAACAGTGTTTGGACACTTGAGGAAATTTGAACAAAAAATGTAAGCCAGAAAAAAGAATAAAATATATAACATGATTTAGTGGTCAATAACAAGAGTAAGGTGGATGGAAGAGAGCTACATAAAATACCAGAAAGAAATTGTCACAAAGTCACTGAAATAACTGCTGGAAAACTGCTGATCCCTGTTTAAATGGCCAAGAGGATGATTTATAGATTGGAACAGAACCTACAAATCCAGCTGCAGCGATTCATTTATCTTGCCTTTTCCATTTTTACATGTGACACACACTACCATCTGCTGGACAAAGAGCCAAACTAATTCAATAACATACAAGGGTTTTTTTTGTCGTGAGAACCCCTTTACGATCATGTTTACCTGATGCAGATGCAAAACAACCTGGGATGTGTGGAGACCATATAGTGCTGTAAATGACACCTTCGTGGCCTTTAAAAGTGCATAATGACTTCCCCACAGCTGGATCCCACTGAATAAAGTAAAAAGAAAACTGTTGAGGCACACATTCAATAAAGGAAAAGGTTTCATACATAAAAACTTTATGCAGAAAGGACTAAATGAACTTTTTACCATGTGTCATGAAAAGCATTTGTATATTTAAACTGGTATCAACTGAGGGATAAAGCAACATATCAGTTAAACCAGAATTTCAGCCACAGTGTAAAATAAAGAGGGAAAGTGAATCAATGCTGCTTCTTAACAGAAAGAACTCTCACATCCAAAACAAATCACATTTTCCACCTCAACATACCAGCTTCGCTGTTTGATCCCATGAACCAGACACCACTAGCTGCTCTCCTCTAGTTTGGCTCCAGTCAACACTATATGCCTATAAATGATATAACAGCCTAGTTTAGAAAGAGCATTAGAATACACATTTGAGACTCTAGTCAGGCAAAATTTCACAAAATAAGACTTGTATTTACAGATTGTATCATAACCAGCTAAGGAAACCACATTGGATAAGTACCACAAAGCTTCCAACAATACCATTTACCTGAACAAAAATTTAACTTAACATCCCAGTCTGACATTAAAGACACACATAGGCTCAGAAAAGTACCCAAAAAGGTAAAGATGGGCCAAAATAGAGAGGGGGGAGGGAATTGTAACAAAATTCACATAGACCCACCATCGCTGTAAGTTTCTACCACTTAAAAAAGCCGTAATTCAGACTGATCTCTTGTCTCTGATCCAATTTATTCAAATATCTGGAGTTTCTAGTTGCTAGCAGTGAAATTTTCTCTCCACTGCTGACTATGGAGTTGACTTTGAGGTTTTAGCTAACAAGAAATGCATTTTTTTAATGATATCTAGTTCTCCTAAGAAATACATGTCATAAAATACTCGATTTTCATCTTGTCCAGGTTCTATGACATTCTTTTTTTATCATTCATTTCTTCAAACAAATAAAATAAACAAATCAACTTCCCTTGTGACTAATCATTTCAGCTATTTAAAAATTGCTTTTCACTGTGTAGTTGAAATAAGCTCCCTCTTCTCTGACAGTTTATTCTAATGCTGTTTCGCACTTGACAGAGGATCTCTCACCTTAGCTGCTGATTTTTCAGCTCTGCTGCCTCAACCAAAACAAACCCTCTAAGGTAGTTCTTTAAATTACTTCAAATCTGAAAGTCTCAAGACCATGTACAACTTCCATCATCAAATGCACCGTATCTTTTATGTACTAATGGAAGCTGCATTCTATACTGTCTAGTTTCACTCCACACTAAAATGTCTCAATAAGCTGCAGTGGGACATGAACCATATCAGTCCTAAGGTGGATAAATATCAGCTAAAAGTTTATTTGCTTCACCTCTTGACTCAAACAGACCCACCATGACACTTCTCAGAAATGTGGCCACTACCTACCAGTAGTAAGTGGCACTGCGCTCAACAGCCAGGCCAGTAACCACTGAGGGTTTGTACTCCAGCTGGGACAATCTAGTTCTAGCACAGCATTAGATCTAATTTGCAAGTCAACATACTAGATGCTGTGTTTGTCTTGGATAGATGGAATCATGCACCAAATAACAGCAACCCTGTTTTGAAGGTGAAAATGTTTGGACCTGTGTCACCAGACAAGAAAAGCAGAGGAAGCTGGACCAGAAAAAAAATCCAGCAAAAGACAAAGTCTTTTATGGGAAGTGTACTGTATGAGAAAGAAAAACAAGGAATCATTTAGCTAGTTCTGAGCATTTTCATTGCTAAGCAATATTTCAATCCATGCTAGATTCAACTTAATCTGTTTTTCATCTATTGGCTTATTTCCCATAAGTGGAAGGCAACCACTGCCCACAAACTGGATTTTCTACAACTTTCCTTTTTCATTTGACAATGTTACACTTCCTATATACTGAAAGGCATATTGCTCTGGCACCAGTTTGTGCTAGCTCCCTTCCTTGGGGACCTTATAATCCCAAAGTACAAGACACTTGGACAGTACCTTCACAAAAGCCAAATAACAAACTAAGAGTCAATTCTTCTGTTTGTTTTTCCAAACCATGCCTTTACCTCTTGGCTTTTCTACCTTCATCAGCTAACTACCGGTACTATAGCTCATTAAAACACCCTCCTTTTCAACCTGACTCCTCCTATTAGAATAACAAAGGACACACGAGTATCTGTTCACATTTTAAAAATGGAAGGCATCACAGTTCTCCAAAGTGGCACCCAAACTCCGCATAAACATTACCCTCTCTCCTTCCCCCTGAATCTGTCTTTACCTCTTAAGATGTTGCTGTTTGGAAATGCCCCTAAATGTATCACTACATAATGCCTAATGCTTCTTCCATGTGATACTTTAGTTCTCGTATGCCTCAACAGCCTTATGAAGTCAGCTCAGTTGAAGTGTTTGGCTCTTTTATTCATGTCCAGGATCTCCCAGAAAGAAATAAGTTTGAGAAATATACACCCATGCCAGACAATTCACCCAGCCCCACATATTTAGGATGTTATCAGATCTACTGCACAGACAAGGCAAAGCACACATATGGCTTACATCTCACTCACAAGCTATCCGCACATAGATCTGTTGAACATGTGCTGTGACATGGATCTGCACACATATGGCAGACACGTTCAGGACTGCCCAGCACTCTGCAGCTGCATCACAGGCAATGGAACCTGGGCAAATTTTCCTTCAGGCAAGAGTTACAAGCAGAACAGACAACAGGCTAAGAAAAAGCAAGAGCCCTTTTCTATTTGGCATGTGACAGGTGTGGCTAATGGGAAGAGAATGAAAAACAGAAGGTGTGAAAACCAAGTAAAACTTTTAAACTTCTTTGCTTTCCACGCTATCAATCAATATTTACGGATGCTTCAATACAAGCTGTGTTGAGCAATTGGAAAAGCCTAGTAAGACAGAATAAACCTTCCCTGTTAATCTTCTAGTGCTTTATCTTCAATCATAAAATACATGATGAAAAAATATATAGAACCATAAAATAATAGCTCAAAAATAAATGCTTGGGCTCACTTTACAAGACAAATTTAATTCAAGCATTCTTTTGTCTCACATTTCAATGAGACTTCATCAAAACGAGAGTAAATTAGATTAATTTATTCATGAGATTCAGCAGTTGGTTAGTGCTGGAATAAAACTCATTGTCTTTTGATAATAAAGATGCGCTTTGAAATTAAAAATGCACATTCTTTTTGAACTACAGACAATAACCTCATTTAGAAAACATGAAACAGATCCCTGTCAGTCTTGCATTAGAAAAATTATAAAGTGCAGTGACAAAGTTGTCATTAAAAATGTCAGACAGGGATTAAGTATTAGGAAGGTAGTCAATCATTCTAAAGAGCATTATCTGACAGTGTTTACCACAATCTATTAGGTATATTCCCCCTGGGATCTATCCTCTTAATGCATGTTTATGAAGAGTCAACACAAACCTTTCATATCTCACAATAAACACTCAGCCTATGCTTTCTATACTGTCTTCCTAACTCATGGCTGAATGCATTCACCTCCCCATGCTACCTGCTGAATTAAGACTTGGACACAGAAATGTTTACTTCACAAACAACAGATGGTGTAGCTGAACAAAAATAAACTTATGGATAGAATTTCAAAAGACAAAAAAAACCCAAATCAATTTGTTATTACGCTTTGTCTATGTCTTTCTGTTACTCCCATCAGCCTCTGAACACTATTATAAAATCCTGATCAGAACTACGAACTCATCTCTCAAAATTCTTTATTTACACAGTATATGTATTAAACCAAAGTAGCAAAATAACAAAGAATTAAGGTACAAAAGACAGACTGTCATGTTACTGCAGTCTTTGGGAATACACAACTGGATTTCCTCCATCATTTTTTATTGATTACCCATCCACTAGATAATTTTATTAAGATTTATGTCATTTAGCTAGTGTCAGCAACCCAGGCTGACTGCATCTAAAGTTCAAAGAGAGTGGTTAGAAGGAAAGCATGCGGAAAAAAAAAAAAGTAGAAAAAATCAAAATCACTTGGGAGAAGATAAATATACTAAAGTATAAATGTCCTGAAAAGATGCAAATACAATTATGAACATGAATATAACACTTTACTGATATTGCAGTGCATAAAAAACTGTATCAAACCAAGGCTAAAAAACCCACGTGCTGTCCCAGTATTTGACTACTGTTACTTGAGTAGGATCTCACAGGTGCTAGGATGTAAGCAGCTCCCAGGTACAACAGAAGTCCTAAGGATGTCCATTATGTTTATCAGTCTATGCCCTCAAGGATAATACTGCTATATGGAGGGTTGGAATTAGATGATCTTAAGGTCCTTTCTAACCCTATCTGTTCTAAGATTCTATATACATCTGCTGTCTGATTTAGACCTATCCAATAATGCTCTCTAAATATCACAGAAAGACTGCAGTACTTTCATACAACACAGTGATTACGTAGCCTGTAAGAAACCACAAAAGCTGTATCTGAATATATTGTATTCATGTAATTAAGTGGTACCTACTACAGGGTATGAGTGTATATATAAATATTTACAATAGACAATTTACCTTATATTCAAAATAATGTTAAGTTATAAATTCGAACCATTGATCCAAATAAAGTTTAAAAATAGACAACAAAACCTACTTTTGACTGTAAGACCACAAATAAATCTTTTATTAATTAAATTATTAGATTGTCCATTAAATTTTTCATGTTTGCCTGGCTTACCTCCTGAGTGTGCTCTTTATAGACTTGCAGCGGACCTTTGGCTTTAGCTGTATCCCAGATTTGCAGAGATCCATCTCCACTAGAAGTGATCAACACATGTTCATTATTCTCACTCCAGGTCACATCAAACAGGCCATCATTCCAGTCAAAACTAAATTGGAACAGTAAAGACATTTTTCCGTGAGAAAGCATAACATTAAAGTCTAGACTAGTTACATGTAAAGATAGCATTTCTTTAAGTCACCCTCTTTACCACCCTAAACAGCATTTTTCTATATTAGTTTCCAGTAAATCTCTTTACAAATAACTTGTCATAATATCAGCTTATACAACTGTATGTCAGAATAGGTTGATTAAGCTAAAGCATAAATGAGCCAAGGACCTTCCACAAACAGAGAATTAAAGCTGATTTCAGTCTGAAACTTGTCAAGCAGAGACAGAGGTACTACATGTCTCAGTCTTATCTACGGTTTCTCCAGGGTGTTGCTACAGAGGTAAGAGCTCTTTGTCTGCAACAACTGTGGTAAACAAAGAAATAAAACTGTGTTGGGAGAGCTCTATCCAGTTGACAACACCATTAGGAAGCTGAGTCACAACCAAAAACCAACAGAGAGACTGTCATGAACATATTAAAGATCTATACATTCCCTTAAAAGTGCTTTCAACATGCCAGCAATTTATCATGTGTGATCTGATACCGTGTATTAGTTGCTCTGCAACAACTATCACTGACCCTGCTGTTATCTGATGGCAAATATGAATTTGTTTACCCCCTTTTCACTGAAGGTTCAGCTAAGTTCAGGTTAAACTTCATGGCACCCTGCAGTAATGATGAGGGAAAGGCATGCACACAGAATGTTCCAATAGAGAAAATGACACAGTTTATGAATCAGGAAAATAAATAACTTTCTATCACCAAATAAGTGGAGTCACTGGAAATATAGAAATGAACAGTACTAAACCAGTGCACTTAGCATAACTAACAACTTCAAGGAGTCTTGCTTTATAATTAGGAATTAAACAGCTTCTCAGAATATGATTAACTACTTGTTAAGCATTTCTATTTCAGCCCTGTTAATCTAAACAATTGCTGTTTCAAAACTTTATTTAAAAAAAACTTTAGGGTTTAATACTTGACTGCTGTTGACCTAACCTCTCTCCTCCTCCCACCCAAACCCAAATCAAACTCTTCTCAAACCCTTAAAATATTGGATCTCCTAGGAAGGACCTCCATGACTTTACAGAGCTTCCTGCTGCATTTTCAGTACGAGTCAATCTTAAGGGCATAAACTTAGATGGCAATGTGCTCTTCCTAAAAGGCTAAAACTTTTCATTTTAAGGTAGGGCAGAGAGGCTGTTTTCAGTTTACACTGGAGGTTTTCTGTAAAATGCTTTATATTATGGAAAGGGTGCAATCCGGATTACTTCCCATAACAAAATCTATGAAATGTAAACCACTCATTGGTATGTAAATACAAATAGAATCATATGTATGTAAATAGAAAGACATGCATTCAGTAGATAGTGCAGCATAGATACAACACTTCTTATTATTAACGATAACCCAAAATATTTAGGTTGCATCTTGTACGCACAGGTACATAATAAGATTTTCTCTTGCAAAAACAAAACACAAGACCTATGTTACCTTCTGAGCAGAGCAATGCCAGCTTCATTTTGTTCCAGCACTGCCAGAGTCCCACAGCCTAAACCAGCAAAACATAACAAAACATCACAAACTAGTTCACTCATGCCACAGGAAACTACTGTGGTTCTGCGGCAGCTCCAAAGAGCATCCAAACTTTAAGAGGCCAAACAATTAGTTGCATAAAAATAAACATCCTCCTGTCTCATGCTCTCTAAACAGTAATTCATCTACATCAGACTGGCTTTTGTTTTGTTTACTCCGGTATACATGCAGATGAGTTTGGAAAAGAAACAACTCACTTACAAAGCACCTAAGTGCATTTCCCCTAGGACCCTCACATTACAGACATACCAGCATGGAGTTCCTTTTTATCATTTTTGGTAACAGAGCAGACATAAAACTCTTTTTTTCTGCTGAATCAAATAATACAAACATGGTTCAACAGAAATGAAACAGTTCTGAGAAAACACACACGGGTGCTGCTTTCCCATGTGACTGGGATACTGTCAGTCATTCCACATTCAGAAACTTATTTAAAATTATTGTTTTCAGCAGCAATACTCCCACTGGAAAATAATACAAAAAAAATAAAATATCACTGCTGAGAAAAGCTCTGCTTGCCTTTTCAATGGGACCACAGAGTCACAGAATGATGTGGTTTGGAAGAAACCTTCAAGATCATTTAATTCCAACCCCCCTGTCATGGGCAGGAAGCCCTCACAATAGACTATGTCGCTCAAGGCTCTGTCCAACCTGGCCTTAAACTCTGCCAGGGACCAGGCATCGCCAGGATGTATTCGGACACTCAACGACTCGAGACTAAAGAGTTAAAATTTGAAGAATGAACTATTTTCAGGACATTTTAGTCACACTGGATACGTCTCTACCCCTATATTTATTCTCGACACTATTATATTAGTACTCCCCTGCGAGGGTTTTGTGAGACTACCATCAAACCAGCGGGTCTGCGCTTTCCTCGGCCGGAGGACCCGCCGGGCTGGGCGGCTCAGTGGGAAGCACCGGCCGGCAGCCTGCTCCAACCTTAGCCCCAGCTCAGCTGCACCAGTGCGGGACAAAAGCAACGTGAAGAGAAATTCCCCAAACGCTTTCACAGACACTGACTGTCGACCCGGACACCCAGATTTCCATCCACTAAAGAGCCTCCGCGACGAGCCCCCACGGGACACGGACTTTAACAGATACCCTCCCTCTGCCCGCCGCCGCGGAAGCCCCGCCTGCACCTGCGATGCCGTAGTACTGCGCGGCGGCGCAAGCCACGCGTCCTGGCCAGTAGGGCGAGAATTCCACCGCGTAGCCGTGCAGCCCCGGCAGCCGCAAAGCAGCTCCTCCCGCCGTGCCCATGATCCCCGGCCGGGCCTCCACTGAGTCCTGCCGCGCTCGCGGCTCCGCCGGAAGCGCCCCGCCCGCCGGGCGGTGCTGAACGTGCGGTGCCGGGGCCGCCATCTTTGGCGATGGCAAGGGGCGGCCCCTGGGCCCCGCTGGCGGACTCAGCTGAAGAGGGCTTCACTGCTGCCTCAGAGACCCCCTTCCGGGGTCACAGGGAAGCTGCCGCTGGTCGTCCCCTTCTGCCGTGGCTGATGGGTCCCTCTGTGACCGACCGTAGAGGTGGTGGCGGCGGCCTTGGGCCTCGGTAGCTTATTCGTCCGTCGTGGTTTTGTCCTCTGACCGCTTCAGGGGAGAGCTGCAAAGTTAGGAGGGCTACTGAGAAATTCATCGCTTGGTACTCTTAGGTTGTCATACACAGTGATTTGCGGTTAAGGTCACGTGGCCCCGACCAGGCTTTGGGCCACTAGCCGCCAGTTTCTCATCATAAACAACTGTGCAAAATCACCTGTCTGGTGAGACAGAGGTGACTTCCAAACTTGAGACATAATCCATTCTTTTGTATTTCGACTAAGACATACATCTGTTTGTTGTGCGTACAGCAGCTTGAACATGAGATGTCTCAATTACAGTATAAGTATGTATGTTACCTGTCATTTTCCTTTCAAAAAGCTATTGTAGGTATTTCATCCTCTAGTTTCTTGGATAGATCTGCATGTTTTATCTGCATATTTATGCATATCTTGTGATACCCTTGTGCTAAATGCCCTTTTATGAACAAACTCAAGATCTCTTACACCCATGACAAATTCTGTTCAAACCAGTGAGAATTTTGGCTTTGAAAGGAAGTGGGTAGGGAGTGGTGGTCAGGCTTAGGAAATAAGTCAGCAGAGCATCAGCTGCAGCTTTTATTACATTCTATCCTGCATATGCTTTAAAGAACTTTAAAATACAACAATTATTCTAGTTGGACACAGACTACCCTAATTAGTTTTAGTGACCCACCCATAAGTGTAAAGATAAAAATGTAAAAGTATTATTTTACACATTAGGAAGATAAGCAAAGGAGCAAAGGCACATTAGATTACTTAATCAAGGTTACATCATGGAGCTTGGAGGATATTTACATACTCTTGCTACTCAGCTTTATATTTAAAACTAAACCTTGGCTACAAAATCTACTGTAAAGCCACACAAATTGCTTAAATTGGCACTCAAATGCAGATCCCTTAATTAGACAGTTCTTGATCTCATGGTAAAAATGAAAACAAATATGCTATCGAACAGTCCCCAGGATTTTAGAATCAAATCAATCCAAACCCACTGCAAGTGAAGCTCAATTTAGTGTATCATTGGGATTATCACAACAGCTCCCAAAGCCTCACAACTGGCAATTTATAGGCTTAATTTATTGACAGACACGATATGAGATTAGTTATTTTAACCCTGGGGCAATGGAATACCTTACGGAATTGGCTACTACAGGCCAAATTCCACTGATTTTAGCCTCTGTGGAATCTTTTTTAATCAATGTATATTTTCAAAATCCAAGTTTGTAGACAATTTTCAGAGAAAGTGGTTTTTTGTTGTTTTTTTTTTTTTTAAAGTAATTGCTCTTTGCAGCTGGAGTACCAGTAACAACATTTGAAAAGAATCATAGCCACTGTTGAGGTGCAGTAGGTTGATTTGGACATGGCTATTTGAGAGGTGGTGTTTGGGAGTCTAGTGCTTGAAGGTAGTGTAAGTCCAGTTGGTTTATGGACAATTTATCGTTGATAGATCTGAGTATTGTAAAGGTTTCAAGTCCATTTTCAAATCTAGTTGATCTTTTGTAATGAGTGAAATTCCACAAAGAGGTTACACAAACAGGAAGTTGTTCTTATCAGTGGCCTAGCTTTGTTTTAAAGACAGGTTAAAAGAACTTTTGTAGACATCAAGATCAGGAAGTGGATAAAAGGTTACAAGGAAGTCCTGAGAGAAGGACTAGTTCCCAAAACAATTTTTTTTTCAGAGGCAAACCTGTAAATTCAGGCTTTCAAGATATTTAGAAGTAGGAAGCAAAGTAGTAACAGCGAGTGGAAGTATTTGTGTAGGAAGATTTCAATGCAGAGAGAAGTAACAATTAAAGAAAGAAAAGATATCTTCAAGCAAAGAGAGAAGGGCCCGACAAAGCTGACAAACATGACAGCGTTTCCTCCTCAGCTCCTGCGCAGCTGATTAAATTCAAGAAACATGAAGGATCAGCAACCACAGGAGCATTTTATTACATTGTTTATTATTATTTTATATGCAGCCATTGAAACCGGCCTCGCCACCGGCTGACACTGTTTATCCCCCGTGCAGCGGTAGGTGGCAGCCACGTTCCACGTACAACTGAGAGCCTTCGGTTCTGGGTCGGAATGCCGCAACTACACCGAGATTTTTTTATTCCTAAACCAGTATCACTTCAACGAATCAAAAATAAAATAAAATTGCTTAGGCTGTAACTTTTCAGTTCACATTCATACTCCGCGTTAGCATTAAATCGGTAATTGAGATGCTTACAGCAATATCCTCACACTGGGTTGACCACTCTTTTAAATCCAATAAACTCTGTTCTGTTACTAACATGTCCCTCATTTCCTCAGGTTGCCAGCTGACAACTAGGTTAGGTGAGTTGGTGACCATCACTGCTGTATACACAAATCCTTCCAAAAGCTTTGCTGGGCCACACAAACAGTAATCAGGAAGGCTTGAGTCCAAGTACTTAAACAAATGTAAAAGAGCTTTCTACCAGAGAATTCTACCAGATTGTGAGCTCAGTGTCACTCACATGCAGGGACTGGTAGCTTAAAAAACTGAAAATATTCACAGACTGCAGTAAACATTTCTCTGTCTTAGTTATAGAACCATTCATTAGGCTTCGTGCCATCAATATTGTCTTCTACAATAGTGAGCGTGTATTGACTAACAGAAACATAGAGATGTTCGTTCCCAGCTGAAATTCCCATATAGTCATTAAAGTTGTATCAGCTGAAGCTTTAAGGAAAGCATTTAGTTTCCCAAGGGTCATGATGAGATTGCAAAACTGGCAACAATGAAAATAAACATATGAAATTAACCAAGGGGGCTGCAGGAATGAATGCAAAGGGAAAATGAGGGTTGTGGAAGTTGGAAGGAAAAAGCAGTTAGCATGGAGACTTTTCTGGAAGTTTAAAGGAACAAAATAAGCAAGAGGAGGAAAGACACTAGAGCAGAGGAATATTTAGATGAGGAGATTTAGAAAGAAACATGAGAGTTGTTCGGGGGGGGGGGGGGGCGGGGGAAGGGTATAAAGCAAGAATTGTGCACATTCTTCACCATGCTCATCAGACAAGGGCTCCAAGGACAGTTCTGACTGATGAAATACCCAAACCCAGTGATGTATCTGCACTGCTCCCTCAGCATTTGCTGACTGCCATTTATGTGCACCATGCCATAATTTGGTAAACAGCTTGATCGTGTTACTAGTGTTCCATGATCAGCAGTCTCCATTTAAGTGACCCTTTGTGATACTTAAAAACTTCTTTAAATGTTCAGTGTAATCATGCATTTATATTTGCAACTAAGAAAGTTGGCAAATTCTTGGATGTTAAAATTATAAGTGTGGTTAAACCTAGAGGCCAGTGATGTATAGCTGTAAAAACATAATGAAGAATGAGTTGTTATTTCAAAAAATTTCCAGCTAGCTACCCACTACAAGTTTTGTCCTTAGAAAAAAACAGAGTTGGAACAGGGCGATACCCAGTTGTGATTATATGCAAATCATCTGGTGCTAAAGATGTTAATCTTACAGCCCTTTAGAAACAAGTGAACAAGGTAAGAGTATTTCTCATAAAACATGAGGTGGTGTTTTTTTGGTTTTTTTATTTTTTTTTTCAATCCTTGGAATTATCATCTAATCAGACGTTAAAACGCAAGAGCTCCTAAATGTCTAATCGCTTACTTCAGGGAGTTTACACATTAAAAGATGTGTTTCCACTTTACAAAAATACGGGCAATTTGTGTTTGATATTCAAAAGCATTTTGAATGTTTTTTCCCCCTGTTTAGGGTAAAGCCTCACTCCCATCCAAATCAACAGAAAAACTAACTTGAATTTGGAATAGACATGGTGCTGATGGTGAAGCAAGCCTCACGAGCCAGTAATGCTAAGTGGAATAGCATGCTGCTTCCGTCTCCTTTCAGTCTATGACTTCCTTCTGTAGTTGACAAACACAGGCTGTTCTTGAGAGCAACAGGGACATATTGTTCTTGCTTCCTGTAAGGTGATGTAACTGCAATGCTGAATGGATTAACACTGAATCTGTGTTTTGTGGAAAACGACATAATTTAGAAAAACACCGATTGCCATTCAGACTGTAGCAAGAAACAATAACCTACTGTATCTGGCGCTTAGCAAATATTAACTTTCCCTGTAAGAAATGAGTCTTTGGTTTCCTCGCCATCTTCCCACCCCTTCTACCCGTTTCTTATCAGCAGAAGCAAATACCAGGCATATCTCATCAAAAAAGGGGACTGCTCAACACAAAAGCAAACAGAGCGACTGAAGGTACTGCAGTGACTAATTTTCTAATTATTCCAGAACTGATCCTCTGTCTACAGAGATCATGGAAAACAATGATACAAGAGCAGGCTTCCTGCTTAGTCTTATCAACATCAGTTTTAACAGGACAGAGCTACTGATATGACATACAAATGTAACTATAGAGTACTATTTTTCCTTCTTTTTCTCCTGTAATATTTAATAGAACCCCCTAAGAATTTAAAAATTTTAGTAAGCCAATTTCACAGCATTTCTATTTAAAAACACACTTCAAATGCCTCAATGTCATTTCCTTCTCCAACCCCGTCTGAATTCCTTAGACATTCACTCTTGGCCTGCAAATCATCTGAAAGATTGGAATGTTCTCCCTTCATACCACATAGTATTTCAAGTATCAAAGGATTTTTCCCTCTCCCTGGACTTAGGAGGCCTACCCTGCAAAGTTAGCTCAGCCTTTGGCTACGTACTAGTTATCCCAACTTCTTCGTTTCTTTCTGTAGAAGGGATATTTTCACTAATTATCAGACAT